TAAAACATGTTTCCGTATCTAATCAGGATATCATGGTTACTACAGCTAATACTAATACTACTATCATCATCATAACAATAATTAACAATAATTAATAATGATGATGATGATGATGATAATAAAATTTGAAATGGAAAATCGATCACCTTACACAACATTATACCCGGAATTCTTAAATCATGTCTTGACGCTAAATAGCGACTCGTGACATTGTGCGGCATTGTCGAAGACCGGCAGCTGAAACCAATAGAGCTCATAACTTTGGATATTACGTAATTAAGCGAACAGGGGACAACCCTTTACACTGAGGTTCTGACGCTTCTATTGTTTTGCGTAGAGAAGAGTACATTTTGTCAGTGTTTCATTTTGAAAATTTGTGGCCAGGTATTTGAGCTTGTTATGGAATCAACTGCCTCTTATCATCAGGCAACCGTCTTTGATGGTAATACAGCCTTTCATATCATGAAATTCTCCGCTTTTTTAGCATAAGAAATAATACTAAAAATATTTTTATAGCGTCAAATCCACTAATTGTCTCTACATTAAAGATTATTAAAATTAAAAGCTAAAAGAAAAGGGAGAAAAGGAAAAAAAATGATCGGAATAAACTTAGTTATGGCTAAGATCATTCTCGACGACCCAATTGTTAGCGCATTGGGGTTCCCGATTGAGGGGTCGACCGAGTTCAAGTGTTCCTCGGCAAAACTGCCTTTAAAGGTTTGTAAAAGTATACCGGGATATTTAACGCTATAGGTTGACTAGTATCCCATCCAGGGGGCATTAGAAAGATCCCTAGTTGCCTCATACCGGGATAAATTCCGATGGTATGGGTCACTTGGCCCGACGTAGACTTCCTTTGCCTTTTTGCTTTTTTAATACTCTTTTCAGGGGCCAGTTGTTCAAAGGGTGGATGACGCTATCCACTTGATAGTTATGATCTGTTATCCAGCCTTTTAATAACTGGCCTCGATCTCTGAACTCTAACTTATTGAAACATCATTGTGTCTGTAAGCAGTCTCTAGTTCCCTCCGTAACTGAAAAGAAGCCAGTCTGAATAATGCGGACTTTGCCGGAAACCAATATATAGCATGTTCATCTCTGTTATGCACACGTCTTTTGAGCGCTTCAGTTTGTCGATAGTCTAGAACGTGGTTTCCATTCGNAATGCGGACTTTGCCGGAAACCAATATATAGCATGTTCATCTCTGTTATGCACACGTCTTTTGAGCGCTTCAGTTTGTCGATAGTCTAGAACGTGGTTTCCATTCGGAGAGTACAAAGGAGCGTTAGGGAAATTTGGGGAGGGGGTACTGAATAGAGCAATGACAAACACCTGTCTGCGCCCCGGGGGGGGGACTCCCATATGAAAAAGAGTGGGGTGGTCGTCGGAAATTTTGAAAAAGACCCATAAGGGGCACGAAGATCTTGTTTTGTGGACGTGGCTTGATTTTTTTTCTCCCCTAAGAGGTACCAATTCTTACACAACACATTATCTCCCAGTGTCATGTTTTTTTTCGGCTCAATACCTTAAATTTAAAAGGTACTGCAAAAGCTCCTGCTGTGGACCTTCTGAGGCCAAATACCCTAACAGGTACTAAAACCGCGATTTTTACCCCTGAAAGATACGACGAGTGCCCCCGTCATTTTTATATGGAAGTCATCCCTCGAGGTCTGCGCCCCTTTTTTCGCGCACCAAGATTCTAATTCACTTTGCATCTGCTCTCATGCGCTTAAATCACGGCTAGCAAGGAGTCCTAGGTAAATGAAAAGCACGGACAACTTGTAGTCTTACGTTAGTTTCGAGCTGTCTTATTTTAGGACAGTTTCTTTTCCTTCATGTGCTGTGTAAGGTAGTTTAATAGACTGAATGACTTATATATCGAACTTTTCGCTCTCAACTGATGTCTCAAAAATAAATTGTGTCCGCGAATTAATAAGTTTGTAAGGAATGTATATAAATGGAATCTCCAAAATTTGGGCTCCGATCACGACAGTAGAGCCGTCATATTGGGGATGCGGTTTTCGTAGCGTGACAAGCACACTCTTTGATTTACTACTGCGGGTTCTGAAAGGAAGTGTTGTTAGCTTGTTGTTGACAGGAATTACGTGCACCCGTTCCGATGATGTCATACGATCCATTTAGGTACATATTTGTACACACTTTCCGGAAACCTTTACTTGCCAAAACTACAGTTGGGTTTGTTCAGTGAGAATGTGGCGACTTTGAATTTCTTTGCGCCTTCTTAAAAGAGAAGAAAAACTTCACATTGTGTCGTCTTTCTATGTCCTTATAGAACAAGTGTACCTCGGCATTCCAACCATGAAGCGCAGAAGAACAGCAATTTCTTTGCTGAGTTAGTTTTGGTCCTAAATTGCCATATTTTTCGTTAAATAAGACAATTCGGAGAGTGTTTAAAACACGAAATGACCCAATGGCACCACGGGTGAGAGTCAATGTGGGCTAAAGGTGTCTGTAAGGATTAATCCTTAAAATTATTGAGAGCGAAACACTGTCGAGTTAGTGATATCTAGGCTAATTTGAGCGCTATTTAGTCTAACCATAATGAAATTTCGTCATTTCATCATTTAGAGTCTTTTCCAAAAGTACTGACTTGGTTTCGTTAGTCTTCTCTGAGTTTCGGTGTTGACCTCTCGGGCCGGTCACACAAGGGAAGCATCGGCAACAGGGGTACAAACTGGATCAAGCGTCCAAGGTCAGTTAGTCGAAAGTCAATCTTTAACTTGCTCATTGAACTAGCATAATATTTTAGAGAACACATTTTCAGATTTATTCTCGAATATTTGACGCGCAACTTTTGAGTCGCCTCTTGCTCTCTGAAGTACCCAATGGCCAAATTCCGGCGCACCAAACTCGAAAACGATTTACAATAAATTTTCAAATCCTGGCTATTGAAATAAGTTAGATTGACTGTGGACTTCGAGGTGGTTTTAGGCTGCGATCATGAAAATGCAAATTCTAGCAGCCGACGTTAATCTGATAATCTTGTCTCTGTAGAGTACGATTTGTCGCCGCCGAATATTAATCAGCTTATCAACTGGAAAACATACCGTGATATGGGACATAGGCTCTTATATGGGATCAATGTCCTGAGAAAAGCCACCCTGTGCATCTGATTGTATCTATCTCGTGTAGCCTGCATTCCAGTTTGTTTTGTCACTAGAAATTGTATTGAGCGAGGGAAGCTCCGTACGTAGTCAAGTCTAGTTCTATGAAGCGCCGATCTCGGTCTATTCGCGCTGTGTGTATGACGTCACAAGCGTGACGGCGAAAATTGCAGCGTAAAAGTCATGAAAAATCCTGTTTCGAATTCCTGGAAGAGGACATTGGAGTAAGGGAAGCCTAAAGTAATGAAACACGCTCGTAGCTAGTAGATTTTACGAAGTGTGTTTTGTTGCGGCTGTATCTGAGGTTGATAACAGGAAACTTGGACGACAACCGCCCGATGAGTAATTTCCTTAGTAACTGTTGTTTGTATAATTTTGTAAATATGATTTGTGGTTAAACAAAGGCTTATAAAAAACAATTAACACCAACATTTTACGTGACCTTCTTTCCAGTTAAGATGGAGTGATACTGAATAAATTGACTTAGCATACATAAGAGAAACGAACAGCCATGAATGAGAAAAACTTAGTTAATTTTGTGAAACGCTCTGTCAGAGTGCAGTGCAAGTGATAGCTACAGCCTGTGTTTCGAACTGACAAGTTGCACGTGAGATAAACAACAAATTCGCCACTTAAACGTACATCCTCTTTCATGACATTGTCCAGTAAACAACAGGATATCTCGCGGTCTCGTAGAAAGACTATGAGCACCGATTTTACACTTATTTTATCCATTTATGGTCAATGACGTCACGTCGCCGCCGGGAAGCACGTCTACTGGGCGTTAAAATTTCGCGTTTTGAAGTAAACAAGTCGGGCCTCGTCAATACTGAACCAGGCTTAAGTCACACAGTGTCGACATAATGGACATTTCCTTGGCCGAAAATCGACAACAAAACGAAGGTTACGTGTGGGTGTATTTTTAGACGCGACCTGGATTACGAAATGCGATATAAACCGAGCAGGTACACTCTTCCAGCAAAAACACAAGAACAGAAGAACTTCTAGCTTAAAGCTGAACGTTGAAACAGTAAGCAAAATCTCTCAATAATGCAAGCCGGACTCAGTTTTTTCGACAAAAAGGCTCCAACAGTCGTGGTACGAAGCCTCTTCGATAAATATGACACGAATGGAAACGGTAAATTGGAAGAAAAAGAAATGCAAACTTTGTTAGAAGGAGATTTGGGCCTCGAACATGAAAAATCCTGGGTGTACTTTTTGCTGTTGGACAAGAACGGAGACCACCGCATTTCATTTGAAGAATTCAGTGACTGGCTTCGTAGCGAGGAAAATTTCGAAGTTTTAAACGACAAAGAAAAATTTGACAGCTTGTGCAAAGCCTTCGACTATTTCAAGAGTTTTGACACAGATGACAGCGATACGCTCGACCGAGCTGAGTTTGAACGGATGATGAAGTTCTTTGGTTATGAAACCATCAACATGGATAAAGCCTTCGCGAGAATGGACAAAGATGAAAATGGAAAAGTGTCTTTCTGGGAGTTCATGGTGTGGTTAAAATGGATACCGGTTTTCAACTAACAGACGACTAGATAGCGAGTTGTTAGCAAGCGATTATGGAGGCGTGATATGACAAGAAACTCAGTGCAGCTTATAACTCAGTCAGACTATGCAATGTAAAATTTACTCTAACTTAACTTATTTTATAGCAAGCGTTATTTATTGAAGATGTACATAATATTCAATTGCATAACATGTATATAGTTCTCGGTGAATACAATTTTGTTTTTGTAAAATATTTATACCAATTTCACGCGATATGGACTTGTTCAAGAAGTGTTATTTATTGATGTCATGTTCCTCATACAAAATGGAAAGATTAGTAAACTAAACCTCGTGTAAGGATTGTATTTAATTGGTTTTTACCACTGAAACATGATAAGGGACGAATCATTATTTTTTAGAGAGGGGTGGGCAACTTATTGAGGCATGAAATTTTTGTCTCACCTTTAGGTTGTGCACGATTTTGTGGTGGGCAATAGCTTGTGCAAGAATTTCTTTTCACATCAAAAATAGGACCTCGACAGTGGAAAGCACTTGCTCGATATTTGGCCCATGGCTCCCCTTGCACGACTATTTTTCCAGCAGTTTTTGCTGGCAGGAATCTTTTTTGGAAATTGCACCCCCCCCCCCCCCCCTCCTCAAAAAAATATTGTTCCGTCCCTAAATCTGACGACCTGAATTTTAATTTTCCCGCTTATGTTGATCTGTACGTGACCCCGCGCTTTAGAGAAATAAAGTTTTGTGGTTACTAACGACTTCCGATCTTATTATCAAAACAAACCCTCTTACATGTATGTTAACTGATGGAAACAAAACGTGTGCTTAGTAATCCGTGTTTATTACGACGTTCCTTTCACAACATTACTTAATTGATAACGGCCAATCAAATCGTGTTCCGTCGGTGTACGTTTCAGCGGTGTGACGTCATTCTTCAGGGGAAACCCATTCAGCAAATCTGTCACGCGAATTGCCTGAAGTTCAGACATTTGATGAAAAAGGGAATCAGATGTTCAATGTTTGGGTACATCGTTTCAATTTAATCATTCTCTCTCGCCAGACACCTATAAAATCGACAACAGTTTGCTCGTTTTACAAAAAAGGAAAGAAAACACGAGATCACAAGAAATTATTTCGAAATTCAAAATGTAGGCGAGTGGATACACCTGTTTTTACTGCGTCATTAAAAAAAAAATATTTTGAAAGGAAGACCAAGAAAGGCCTTAGCTGATTTTATTTAGTCGTGAAACAGCATCTAAGAATTTGTATCAAATTGAAAACAATGAAATCATAGTGGTATAAACTTTTCACGGGCGAAGTAAAATCACTCTAATGAAAGAATAACATACATGCAAATCACTTTTTGTAGAGAGACGGATTTTAGCGAATCGCAGCACGCAATTTTTACACACAGAGATGATTATGAATGAGTGTTTTGAAAATAGACAGTGACAGATGACACAGGTTTTTGGTGCATATGTAATGATGCTGATGACCGTGTCAGTAAGCATGCATTTTTCAAATCACGTATGTTACGCGCCACTAGATTAAGAAATGACGGTTGCTTCTATTTTTAGCATCCGGCTGTATAAAAACAAATGCGTAATACGTTACACAAGTAATTAAAAAAGGCTACAAAGATTTTACATCTGAAGGAAAGTTTCAAGTTGAACTTTGAAAATGCAAGCAGGGAATTCTTACTTCTTTCGCGACGCTCCAGAAATCGCCATTCACAGTCTGTTTGATAAATACGACCATGAGAGAAATGGCAAGCTTGATAGGTCAGAACTGAAGGATTTATTAGAGGGTGACCTTGGATTAAACCCTGAACAAGCCTGTATTTATATGTTGCTGTTGGACCAAACTGGAGAACACAGTGTGTCATTCGAAGAGTTTTTCAACTGGCTGAGAAGCGGTGAACGATTTCAAAATATTAACGATAAATCAAGATTTGGTAAATTATGCCAAGCTGTGGAGATGTTCAAGAGTTTTGATACAGATGACAGCGATACGCTGGACAAAACGCAGTTTAAAAATCTAATTACCGCCATTGGATACGCTAATGTGGATTCGGGAAAACTTTTTAAAGAGTTGGACAGTCACCGCAATGGCAAACTGTCGTTCGTGGAATTCATGAAATGGCTGAATTGGGTGCCAATTGAAATGTAACGACAGACAGTTTAATAATCAGCAACTCACAGTATTAAATCCACAAGAAATATCTTTAATACATGCTTTTGTGAAGTATGTTGCTCAGCCCTAGAAATAGTTCAGGTTACACGTAATGTAGTGAGTGTCGACGAATGTGTGAGCTCGAAACAAACTTGAAATTATATAACTATGCGAAATTTGCAACATTAATCTATGTGAGCTATAGAGATACTGTTAAGAAATTTATCTACACGTTATTCGGCGAATCCGTTGAAAATTGAATTTTGAACTTTTATCTGTTAAGAGAACGCTTATTTTTCCTTTAGCATAGAAACTTAGATTGATTATATTCTACTGAGCGCCATGTCGTCTTCTGAATCAATATTGGTAAGCCTACTTCCTGTTATTTATATGAAAAGATAAACAAACTCCACTGTGGAAACAAAAGAATCATATGTATTCGTTTTATTGTAGTGAAGTTGTTAAACAATGGCAAACGTGTTGTTTGTACGAAATCGAAAAGAAACACAATGAGGCATGAATAAAGAAAATTGTGTCCCGTATTGAATTAAAATGACTGGAAACTGACTGTTTTTTCATCATCGATTCAGGAAGTAAAATTGCCATAGCAGTAGACCTTGCTTCTGGTGAAAAGGTATATTCAGAGGGTGGTAGGGAGGGGTGGTCTAGATCAGATCACGTTTCAGGGAAAATGGAAAAGTTTTTTCACAATTCACAGAAAATAAAATAGACATTTCACGCAACACGAAAAAAAGGGACATTTTTCACTCAAGCCTGCAAAATTAATGAGATTTTGAAAGTTAATGTCCAAAGACTAGCCTTGTTCTTTTCTCGACAAGAGGCAAAAGGAAAACCACGTTCCACTGAAGACTAATGCAGAGGGAACGAACAGATTGCCTTTACTTCGAAAATAATGGACACCATAATCAAAATTACACGACGAATTGAAAGTTTAATTCTCATTTCATTTTCAAAAATCATGGTTCACGGTTACTAACAAAATCACGATTCACGAGAAAAAACTAACTAACTAAATGTGCTACGTGGCACATAGGGTCGCAAAAAACTAGCCATTTCAGATATTACGGGGAAAAAAATAAGGCTATTCACGAATCACGAAAAAAAACCCACTCTTTTGAACTTAAGACTGCGAGCTCAAGGTTCGAGCCGCCAATCAAAGTCTGTAGAAACCGAAAACTAGCAAATTAAATCTATTACACAAAGAATATCGATAAAACTGACTGAAATAGAATTATTGAGGGTTTTATAAACACTTATCGGCCGTAATATCGTGCGTGAAACCACACACTGACATTCTTCAACTGCAATTCTCTATTTCTTCCTACTCTAGTTGTTTAAAATTGTTGTACTTGAATAGGAAGTGGAAGAATATACGAATAAATAATACATAAATAAACTGCGAGGTCCTTTTAGCGATCGCAGGAGATGCTTTTAGGTTTATCAGTTGAGTAAGACGCGACGAAAGTGTGGTGACCAGGTTTTACGGTTCAACTAGTGTTGTTGTCATGGGCAACTGGCTCCGCTTCCAGTGGCAACTTGTTGGCCTTTGATGTCATTGGCAGCAAAGCGCGCGAAATTGTAGGCCACGATATCGTTATCATTGAAAACGAGGAAAGCTACCCGTAGCAACACCGTAATTTTAAGTCCAAAACTTCGTCACCTAAACTCCGTCATGCCTCACTCAACTGATAATCGTAGTAATTTACACTGTTCTTCAATGGATCCATCTTCTCGATAACAATTAATGATGTGAAGTATATATGAAATAATTCATATTTGAACTGCGGTTGTAAATGAAAGTGAAGAATGATCACCGCAGTAAATTTTCCAAATTAAGCTATTGGAAAGAAGAAGCCTGAAAAAATCAGCGCCCTGATTTTTTTCAGGCTTCTTCTTTCCAATTGCTTAAATTGGAAAATTTACTGCGATGATCATTCTTCACTTACAATTAATGATGTACGAGCAAACGGGTCCTAATGACGAATTCCNTTTCAGGCTTCTTCTTTCCAATTGCTTAAATTGGAAAATTTACTGCGATGATCATTCTTCACTTACAATTAATGATGTACGAGCAAACGGGTCCTAATGACGAATTCCTTATTCGGATTTCTCGGCTTCAGTTCCTTTCATTCTCACTACAAAACTCATCAAGTAAAGAACAAGAAAAACAAACAAAGATAACAGAAATGTTCTACATGCTTCATACAACAACTTGGGTGAGAAAACACTCCAAACGAACAGGTGATACCTCTGACCAAATACCAACGTACAGTAAACGCACAAGACCAAAGCCTGGCAAAGGGTGATGACGTAACAAGCTTGGTAGAGAGAATTCTGCAACCTGAACAAAATGAATTGGAAATAGAGTAGAATATTAAAATCAAGGTTAAGAACACTATCAAGTCTCTTATAAAATTTGGTAAAAAGAGGGTGGACTGCAGTGTAGGAGAGTCTTGGCGGCAGTCACAGACCTCCTGTCCATTCTATAAGGTGTTTATAACATGCCCTTAATGAAGGTAAAAGATCTGCAACCGCAGTCTTACCTTGTAATATCTCGGGCGTCTCGGATGATAGACAACACGGCAGCAATAAGCCACAAAATAGGTCCACAGTATGTGGCTACATACATGAGGGGGCCCACAACGCAAGGCACATAATCCTCTAATCCCACATAGCCCGCTGAAACATCGACCGATGCCAGGCTGTTGGAGTTCCCCAGAGAAAAGTACATGGCATGACCCATCCACAAGGAACTGAGAAAAATGATCCACGTCTTCTCCTGACTTAAAACAAAATAATAAAAAAAATGTGACAGCAGAATGAATATTGAAATGAAAGGGTTGTGAGGGAAATTAGAAAAGCGATAGCTTGAGAAAACAACATCCATCTTCATGTACGCTATTCACCCCCGCCCCTTCCCAGGACCGTTGGGGACTCGTAGCAAAAAATTCCAAAGTGACGACGTAAGCATGCGAATCCGTGTTTTCTCTGTGATTGGTTGATGCTGCTTTTTTTAACTTCTCTGAAGCCGGGCGAAATGACTAACTGTAAGCGAATGAACAATGATAACTTCGTAGCAAATTCTTTTTTAGGATTAAAATCGCACAAAGTTATTAAAGTGAGGACCATGAACACTTTTCGTACATTATTTTTTTATCACTATCCAGTGAGGCCCACTCATATGAACCAAGGCCGGATAAGCATTCTGTTTATATGACAATCCCTCATTGGATAATCATAAAAAAAAACATGTTCATGTCATGTTCATGCTCAGTGCAAATGGTTCGAGTGTCTTCACTGTAATTCTTTCCTGCATATCAAGTAAATTTTCGTTGC